AAGTCTTTTATTTTTGCTCTTCTCTCTACTTCAGGTCTGAATTTAATGAGTCAGTTTAATTATGAAAACACCACAACATATACAAAACAAACAACTGCTGAACTGAAGGTAATTGTGATGTAATTGATAAAATTAACCCTTTGACTCCCATGAGTGACCAAGACAGAATTTCTCCTTACAATTTCTGTTCAATATCAACCAGATACAGGGGGTGTTAGTGATGAGAATAAAGGAAAACATCAATTTGGGAATAATTAGTTGATCCAATACTAAATTCTCTGAACTAACATTAGAAGAATTGTATGGTTGACAGTAAGGAGAATTACAAATTTGATCTGGAAGTTAAAGGGTTAGGCAATAATTAGGTCACGAGTGTTACGTTGTTTTGTTGTCAGACACGGTACTGCACAGGTCAGCTACAGCACATAATTAAAGTAAATTCTGTACCCAGGCTGAGTTGCCCCATTTCTGGCCTTCTGTTGATTTTCTCAGCATTACTGACTAGGAGCCCACACAGAGACAGTTGTAGAGATTCAAATTCATCACACAGGGTTGTCGTTAGAATATAAAGATATTACAATGTAATTAGAATGTTGTACTTTCTTAGATAGCTTTTGTCTTCTGTAATTACATGTAGCATTTGATTTATTTTGGTATTATTAATTGTAGGACAAAGCTATTGGAGGTGAAATGGAAGTAGATGGCCAGGAAGCTGGGGAATTAACAACAAGGTAGAATGTGGAGCAAATTTGACAATTTCCTGAAAATATCCACACTTTGCATTTACACTGTCAGTTCTGTGGATAGTGTTGGAGGTCTGAGGACTCATCTTTGAATCTGGTGTGTTACTTGACTTGGCTTTGAAAAAGTTTCTTTGGTTTTTTTCAAGATAATAGTCAATGTAAAGAATTTGAAGCTGCACACTATGAATGGAAAATAATACTGACAATAAACTGATATCAGCTCTGGAAAAAATGAAATGAAAATGAAAGGTCCACCCCCATAGACACTTCTTCACTTCTACACCTCTATGCTTGGTTACATGTACATGTAGTTTTATTAAAGCAGTGTTAGTAATAGTGTAGTCTAGCATTTTTTAAGTTTATTTACAAATTGAATTTATTCCACAGTACTGTCCCAATTGACTTCAACCTGTATAAGAAATTTTGGGCATTACAAGATTATTTCCGTAATCCCACTCAGTGTTACACTACTTTGGCCTGGAAAACATTCACACAGGTGAGTTAACCCCTCAACTCCCAGATCAAACTCGTAATTATCCTTACTGTCAACCATACAATTCTTACATATAAATGTTAGTTCTGATAATTTGGTATTGGATCGCGTAATTATTATCCCCAAATTGATACTTTTCTTTATTCTCATCACTTATCTGGTTGAAATTGTATTGATATTGTAAGGAGAAATTCTGTCTTGGTCACACATGGGAGTTAAAGTGTTAAGTCTTGTTTCAGAGTAAACAAATATTTTTTTTCTATAATGAACATGTCTTCAAAAAATATGGTTTTTAACACATACACTAAAATTAAATGACTCTATGGTTGAAGTTGTTGTGGGGTACTTGGTTACATTGCCCTGGTGCTTGTGTTGAAGATTTTCATCAACCCAAAAAGAACCTCAAACTGCTTTATTTCCTGCCTATGAAAGAAAGGATTTCTGATGAATAAAGAATTAATTGTTTCTCTTAGGATATAGAATGTAGATTCAAGCTATCAGTGTACGTCAAGACTTGTTCACTGTCACACTTTCTTTGCTTCTAGTATACAAAAGAAGTTCTAAATGTGTTTAGAAGTGTCAAGTTGGAGCATGTTACATGGAAAAAGAAAGCAAAGGAATTTAAAGATCTCCAGGGAAGGTACTGTTGGAGAGCTGACTACAATATTAAACCTATCCATCTTAGATTTGTGAACACAACAGAAGCATGTATGAGCGCAGACATACAACTCTGCCAAACAATTGTAGTCATAGTGACATTTAAGGCAAGAAAATAAAAGTTTATTTCAATTCATGATTGAAGGATAAGAGAGACTGAGAGAGAAATCTGCCTACAGCGTATCTCAGTTTCTGATGTGAAAACCATTGAGGACTGTTGCTGCTCCCCCTGGATGGAATGCTAGTATATCTCATGTTTTCCCTCTTCTTGATCCCCAGTATTTTTCACATTTCTGTTACAATTTCCTGGGGCATTAGTAAGGCTCCAGATGTCAATGAACTTAAGTTAGCTGCTGAAAACATTGGGCCAATTTCAGCAAAAATGGATGTTGAGAGCCACATCACATGTTGATTTTAAAATTGTAAATTAAAGAAAAGGCTCTGAAAAGGTGGTTAGTTTCCAAAGAATTTACTGGTAGCTTGTGTGATAAGGGGCTGATGCTTACAACATCTGCTATTGAGAATTGGTCGTGGCAGTATAATCTACTTTGATATTTTACCAATGCTTTGTTGAAAGAGGTGCTAAAAATTTAGACAATAATGTCATTCTTTTTTTAGATAAATTTGGTACATATTGCCATTGTTTTAATATCTCTCATACTGTATGCTCATTCATGAACGTGACTGTAGGAAAACTTTTTTTTTTTCATCAGTGACAGCAAAGATCTGGCTCGCTATTTTGCCAAGTTTCTTACTAACGAGAAGGTGATTTCAACAATTGAATTACTTGTGAGTGTCTGCATATGAATTTTGTAACATTGTCAGCAAGAATCTGACACTTTTTTTTCTCTATCTTTTTGCTGTGTGAATAAAGCTCCTTGATCTTCAACTAAGTGACAGTAACTTCAGGAGAACTGTAAGTGAATCATTGTTAATACAATTTATGCAAAATTGAAAATGTCTAAGGGGCTTCATAAAGAGCTTCCAGAGGCTCATATTATCAGGGTTCATACGGTGGAGTTTTATGTTGACATTTTCCAGTACTGGAAAGTCGTGGGAAAAGATTACGGGTCCCAGAAAGTCCCTAGAAATCTGTTTAACTCAAGCAGTAGAGTTTTCTGAATTTGCGTTATGAGAAATGTAAGTGGACCGTATGGAGAATTGATTGTAAAATCTTGGAAATAAAAGAGTTTAGGGTAAAAACTGGAGTTCTGGAAAAATCAATCAGAGTCTTAGAAAACTCCTCGCAATTTTTTTTTCTGAAAAGGGTACGAACCCTCCCTTATTTTACGTCCATTTTTTTGGAGATTGTTATGCATCATTTAACTGTATACATCATTAAAAAGTTAATATGTCAAAATCCGATTTAGTCATGCACAATATTCCTTCCTTTTTTTTCAGATCCTTGTACAAATGTTAATAATATATCAGTACCTTGCTGGTAATGTCAAGTTTAAAAGGTGAGTTATTTTTCTTAATTTCTTACTCATTTATTTGTCCTCTTTAATTTCTCTTTTTTCTTAGCAAAGGCTTTCATATCGTTTTTCTGAGTTACCCCTGGATGGGTATAACCAGGAGACTTCCATTTTTTCCATGCTTGCAATGTACATATTAAATTGAGGTGTAACACAGCGGTGTGTTTCCATACTGAGATGAATTTTAAATCCATCCAGACCACAGCAAATAAGGACAATATAACCCTTTGATAATGGTCCAAC